ACCCTAACCCTAAACTAACAAAAACTAAACTTTATCGATACCGAGATGATATACCCGTGATACTATCACGTGCGTGACCTTTAAACTTTTTCCTTTCGATAAACAAAAAATTATTATTTCTCATTTTCACGTAATAATAAAAACAATCGAAAAAATTTTACCAACCCTACCCTATTACTATATTATTTCTTTACAATTCTTTTTACTTTTTTTAGATAGCTTTTCTTTAGCTTTTTTTGGCATTGTTGTTTAAGGTCCACTGTTTTCGAAGAAGGATCAGTTATACGCCTTATGCAGTCAAAAAAGCTAAACTTGGAGAATTAGCCCTGAGGGGAAGTAGCATCTGGAGCATACGTGCGCCAGTCGCAACTGGGTTGGCATATGGTGGTATTATTATACAGCCGGCGACCCGAGCATCCTGAGGATGGGTCTTCTTCGATTGCAACCCTTTAAATTTTTTTAAAAAACTTCCGATGCGCTATTTATTTGGACGTAACAAGATATTGGTTGGTTACGACAGTTATACGCGGGTTAGGGGCGTATAACAAATTTTAATGATAAAATATTAGTTGCATATTAGTTAATAAATACTATTCTTCTACGTTTTAATTAATTTAATTGCTTTTGTTAATATTACTGTTTGTAGCTACATTATTTATATTTACTTTATTGTAAATATCGCTTTGACCTAGTTCTAAGGCGTCAAATTGTATGTATTATGATTTATTTGAATTTTTTTTTTACTTATTTCTGCTTCATTGTTTCGTTTTATTAATTATTCTTTTTCTGCAATAATTTTTTGTAACAGGTTATTTTAGCGTATTGAATTATTGGTATATAATAAGGGTTGTTGCTTATTTTTATACTTTGATGATATCCAATTAATTAAATTTTTTTAAACCGGCTTTATGATAGAATACTTTCTTATCAATTAAATTATTTGCTTTCTTATCCAATTAAATTTTTTTAAAACCGGCTTTATGATAGATTGATCAAAGTAGATTCAATTCTTTAGAATTAGCTTTTTTTATAGCATTAAGATGTGTTAGAATAATGTCAGATTCAAATAATTAGAAGCTTAGAAATAAAATATAAGCGTTTAGTGACATCTATTTCGAGTAATTTATAGTCGTGATATATGGTTTAAGATTGTGAATTATAATATTACTACATAGTTTAAAAAAACCCTACTATTCTGCTTTCAATAAAATCTTAGAACTTGATTCCACAAAATAATTAAAATAGAAGTTAGTAGCAGATAGGGATTGGAATCGTTTAAATTGCTCCATAGTTCCGGGTAAAATTATGTTGGTCGTGGGCCGGAATTATTTTAATGCCGGTCAAATTAAACGGTTAAACGATTAAACGATTAAGAAAAATTTTAGGCGGTTCCAATCCCTAGTAGCAGAAGACATCTTTTATAGTAATTCAGATTTTGAAGTCTTACCCAAGTAGACGTGTAGACGTGTTGGCTTGTAATTTTTTTTAATGGACTTTTCGATAACAAATGAATGCTTTATGCTCATCTTTTTCAACTACAATTCCATTAAAATAACAATTTTTTACCTTGA